TCAGTCCCAGGTCATCTGATTCTGAGTTCGGAGACCCAGAATCAGTTCCAGGGATCACTTCTTTTCTTTGCTGTAGAGGCAATTTTAATTTTCTCATTTATATTTCTCATTGTAGAGTTTTTCTACAATGAATATGCATTATTATTGCAATAAAACAAACAAAATAATTATCGCATTCCTGTGGTGATGACTGCCAAGTCCAGCAGTCAGCTTTCTCAGTTACTTCAACAGAATTAATACCCACACGGCCAACACGCTGTCCCAGGTCAATGGTGCACACTGATCATCAATCACACCCGTGGCCTGATGCACTCTGTCATCAGAATCCTTCTTAACACAGCCCCATAGACAGCCACTGCTAATTTATCAAAGTGGCGAGAGAAAACCTGTTTGCCATCCTAGGCTGTGATGAAGATTCACTCTTCCTTCTAGATCTATAATCTATGAATAATTCTGAAGGAGACAGTCCAGGGAGATGGAAAGAGCACTGTACATGGAGCCAGATGCCCCAGTGCAGGTCTGCCTTTGCCACCCTCTAACAGAGGTTTTTTTTTTTTCCTTGAGACAGCCATGTTCCTCATCCTCAAGCTTCCTCTTCTGTGAAATGGACATGTTGACCTAAGTGCTAGCTGAGGTCCCAATCTGCTGTAACACGCTGGGATTCTCAGTGCCATGCTTTCCCCAGGCACCTGACACAGGTAAAGACAACGATAATGGCAACACTACCATATATCAAGGGCCTCCTGTGTATCAAGCATTGTGTCAAGCACTTCACCCGTGTTATCATCTCATTTACGACTCACAGGGTCTCGTGATGGTATTGTTCTCCACGTCACAGAGGAAGAACCTGAGGATTAGAGGGAAAGTAACTTGTCTGAGCTCATCCAGCAAGTCAATGGATTCCGATTTGAACCCAAACCTGACCATTTCCTGCTATGCTCTGCCCATATCCCCCACAGCAGGTGTTGTTCTGATGTATCTATTGCAACAATAGGTCACTCTCCACTTGAGGCCTTTCTCTTGCCCCAGTGGCAGAAGTTCCAGATGTATGGAGAAGTCAATACCCCTGGAAGCAGCTCTCGCATATAGTAACAGATCAGAGTTGGAGGATACACACCCCAACTCCCTCGCCTCTTGGTTGGGATACTCTGAGGCATGCCTTTTCCCTTCCCTGCCTCACTTTCTCTCTCCTCTCTCTTCACTTCACGCGATTACCTCTCAAGAAAACTCCTTGCACTCAGATTCTTGTCTTGGGGTCTGTTTCCTAGAACTTAAACCAAGATAACCTTGCACCATGCTATATTGCCATGAAAAACTGAACTGGAATGTTGTAGAAAAATACATTTAAAACTTGTTTCTCAGGTCTTACTGAGTTCCCTTTGAGTTCAAACTCTATAAACCAGTTATTTTAAGGTCTGCACCCCTTGAGTGAGAGAGGGGAGTTAGGGGCACTTGGGGTTTGTAGAGCCCTTAGGTCCACGTGGCTTCTTGTTTTGTCTTCAGCCACTTCTGTGTCCTCAGACAAGTGTGGAAACTCCAGAGGCCTACTTCTTCCTCAGTAAAGAGAAAGCTCTGTGACTCTGACTGAGATTTTAGATCTCGGACTCAAGGTAATCCAGCATAGATGGACAGACCCACAGTTAAGGCCGGAAGGCCTCACTTCACACAGCTGCCAACTTTGCATAAAGGAAATAAAGGCTCTGGACACAGGCAGGCAGGAAAAGGCACAATAGTAAACAAGGAAACAAGATGGGTAGAGATAAAGGGCTGTGCAGTCAGTTCCAGGTGAAAATGTTAATTACAGTGCAGCCTCTTGGATCAAGACGGAACGAAAAATCCCACAAGCTACAGTGTGCCGAGGCCTAAGTATGTAGCCATTATGATGATTTTTTTCCCACAGGGCCATCATACTCTGTTATAGCTCTGAGATGCTTCTTTTCATCCACATAATACCTTTACACATTTAATAACTTCTTTTTAGTCTCAACCTCAGTTTTTAGTGGCAGTGGCACTACTGAATGCCATGCCTTCCAACCTTGCGTTGATGGTGGTGGTTGTGGGATCGGCTGAAGTCATGCTTGCTATTTTATTAGAGGAATTTGTGAAGAGGACAAGGTCCCCAGTGGACTTGAAAATAAAGCAAAGAAAGCATCCCACGTGACCAAAGTTCTCTGCGACTCCCTGCCTGCCGTCAAGCTTGGGCTGTGATGTTAATTTTTCCATCTGCTTTGGCTGCAGGTAATTTAGAGACACCAACGTCATCAGACCATCTGTTCAGTAGAACCGCAGCAATGCTTTTCCTCCTGCGTCATTTATGCCTTGACAGTGACTTTGGGCTATTTTCAATATACGCTGGGCAGAGACGAAATTGTGTACCGAGTAGTCCCTTAGCATCGCACCAGAGGGTAAGGACTGAATACTAATTCCATTTGCAATTATTTGTATAAGACTCAGGTATAAACAGAGTTATTAAAACTCATGGCTAAGCCCAAGACAAGGGAATGCAGGTAGTTGGCATGTGAGTGGTCACACAACATGGTTTGCTTTCTTTCTGATGATTTCCTGACAGACGCAGTTTGTACAGTCTGATTATTCTGGCATTGTTGATTATTGAAAAGCTGTTCTCAGAATGACATTGTTCAATGCGGGGCATGTATTTCCACTTTCCGCTGTGACTTTGAATCTTCTGAATAATCTGATCCAAGTGACATTTATTGAGTACCTACTATATGCCAGTCAGTGTGTTGGAAGTGAGTGTACAAACGGCATAACACAAAGGCCATGCCCTTCAGGGGTTCACGGTCTGGAAGCAGAGATAGGCACATAAACACAAAATTAGTTAATCTCTCTGTGACTCAGTTTTCTTGTTATTAAATGGGAGTAATTATAGTACCTGCCTCTTGAGTTGTTCTGAGGGTTGAAATGTAAAGCAGAAACATAAAATGTGCTTCCTAGATGTTAGAAAACAAACAACTATGGAGCCAGTAAGGCTACTGTGAAGGGCTTCACCAAGTGCCACGTAGGCACTGGCAAGGGAGGGGTTCATGGAAGAGGTCAGGTGGAGGATGCAGTGTGGGTCAGTCCACCTTGAGTCCACATGATGCCATGGTGGAGGTTTTCTATGCATGCGGACAACTTCTCTCCTCAAACCCTGAGCCCTTCTGCTTCTATGCTTGAGAAAGAGCTTTCTGTGGCCTCAGTGTGGGTCTCACTGAAGCTGTGCTTAGCGTAGCTGCGAAGCTCTGGGATTGACTGCCCCCAGGGCAACCTTCAGCCAAGGAGGGATGGAGTCGGCAGATGCGTATCCAGCCTCCCTAATCCATGGCGGGCCAGTTCCAAGGCACACAGACAGTCCCTCAGAGGCCCCAGCAGGACGGAGCCCAGGTACCCACAGTGGGGACCCTTCACTGGTTTGTTTACCCACCTTCAATGGTTTTGCACCCACCCTTCCCCATCTCACATCTCCACTCCTTTACTTGTGCAAATAAACTATGTGCACCCAGGTCTTGTCACAAGTTTTGCTTTTGAGGACACTCAAACTTCAAGGAATTGGAGATGGGGAAGGAAGCTATGGAAAAGAAGTGACGTTGGAGGGAGGCCTTGAAAGACGGTTACGAGTCCAGCAGGTGGGGAGATGGAAAAGCCTGAACCAGGAACACAAAGAGGCAAAGGCATGGAGGCCTGTGAACATGTGGAGTCTGGACTATGCCAGGGTTGCTGGAGCCCCAGGTTCACAGAGGGCAGGGACAGCCAGCAGCACTGAGAGGTTGTCCAGGGGCAGCTGAAGTACAGCCCTGCCTGCAGAGTGGGTCAAAGGATAAAAAACATTCCTTCGTTGCACAATAAGATCTATTTCAGAACAACAGGCACATGAAAAGATGTTCAGCGTCGTTAATCATTAGAGAAATGCAAATCAAAACTACATTGAGGTGTCACCTCTCACCGATCAGAATGGCCATCATTTAAAAGTCTACAAATAACAAATGCTGGAGAAGGTGTGGAGAAAAGGGCACCCTCCTACACCGTTAGAGGGAATGTAAATTGGTGCAGCCACTATGGAGAACAGTATGGAGGTTCCTCAAAACACTAAAATTAGAGTTTCCATATGATCCAGCAATCCCACTCCTGGGCATATACCCAGACAAAACTATAATTCAAGAAGATACATGCACCCCTATGTTCACAGCAACACTATTTACAATAGCCAAGACATGGAAACAACCTGGATGTCCATTGACAGATGAATGGATAAAGAAGATGTGGTACATATATACAATGGAATATTACTCAGCCATAAAATGAATGAAATAATGCCATTTGTAGCAACATGGATGGACCTAGGGATTATCATACTAAGTGAAGCAAGTCAGAAAGAGAAAGACAAATGCCATATGATATCACTTATATGTGGAATCTAAAGCATGACACAAGTGAACATATCTACAAAACAAAAACAGACTCACAGACATAGAGAACAGACTTGTGGTTGCCAAGGGAGAAAGAGGTTTACGGAATGGATGGATTGGGAGTTTGGGATTAGCAGATGCAAACTGGTATATATAGAATGGATACACAACAAGGTCTTACTGTATAGCACAGGGAACTATATTCAGTACCCTGGTAAAAACTATAATGGAAAAGAATATGAAAAAGAATATATATATATATATATATATATATATATATATACACATATATAAAACTGAGTCACTTTGCTGTACAGCAGAAATTAACACAACATTGTAAATCAACTATACTTCAATAAAATTTTAAAAAAGAAAGAAAAGAAACACAATGCCTTATCAAGATCTATTCCTCTGAGTCCTGCTCCTGGGACAAACCAATTCAGTCCTAATGATCCCAGGATTCCAGAGACATCTTGCCTCTCTTAAGGGCTGGAACAACCCAGCAAACGGTGACAGAAAGCTTTTGGCTTTTTAGTCAACAACCACTGTCTTCTGTGAATCACCAGAAACAAAAATGTGTTTATTTAGTGCAGATTAAACACCAATGCCCTTTACCTTAGCTGGATTCATGGTTCTCATCTGATTCCATGAGTGGATCTTTGGGCCAGGCAATCCGTGGACTGGTGTCCTGACTATGGGGAGTATTGGATGATATCTTCTACTCTTGAGGGCTTAGGAAACTCTGAAGATCCCAAAATGGCAGCCAATGCTCAATGATTCTGTTTCCAGATGTTTCAAGCTCTTCTGCTTTTCCACTCCTTTCAGTAGTTGCTTATGGTTCTACCTTCATTTCCAAAGAGCAGTGGGACTTGAGTACACCTACAGCAGCTGCTGTCAATGACCTGCCCATATACCCTTTGCCTTGCCATTATCGTGTACAACTGCCTGACCTCCAATTACCTGAGGGCTTACTTGGGTGGTTGGAGCCCACTGTGCCCAAACCTAGGAGGCTACAAGTACAGGGAATTGATGTCCACGTCCTGTAGCAGCCCTCAGCCAACAACAAATGAAAGTAGAAGTGTAAATACCCCAGCTCCCTCTCCCTTAATGTGTGACAGCTCAGAGATGCCTGTTCTACACTGAGTCCTGGGGGTTCGATTAAGCTCTGTTTGCCTGGAAAGCCCTGGCTTCATTTTGTAGCTTCATCAGAGCCATCCCCTTCCTCTCCCACTTTCCATTCACCTACCAATGTTGTTTGCGATCATCTCCTTAATAAATTACTTGCATTCAATTCCTGGTCCCACTGTTTCTTAAGAACCCAAATTTAAACAATATTCACCAATCATTTTTTCATTTTAGGGCCAGCTCTCACAATGCTTTGTTTTGTGAGGGGGAAAATTAGTGTTGTGTTTTTTATCATTTTGATGTTACATTGGTTACATCTGAGTTTCTCTTTTGCCCCCACTTTTGTGTATTATTACCTTTGTAATAAAAATGTGTTGAATAGGTGGACATGAGTGGGGAGGGCAGAGTTCCTGCAGGACTGATTGGGAAGAGAGTCCCCAGAAACGCATATGGGAAGACAGATGTAAAGGGAATTAGATGTGGCTCACTGGCTAGCTAAAACACGGCAGATAAAAGAAGGTGACAGACAGAGATAAGTAAAGATGGATTTTCACTGAGAGAAGAACAGTCTCTCAGTTATCTCTTCTCTAGAAGCATGGCAGAAATGTTAGTTACTTTTACTTGCTGACAAAATTTCATCTTTGTTACAGGGGTGATGTGTCCAGCCACAGGTGATGAATCTTGATTGATTTAAGTCAACTGTGACAATCCTGTTTCCTTATTACTCACCTTGTGCAGCCAAAAGTTGCCATGTGACTAGTTCTAACCAGTGACATGTAAGGAAAAGCTCACTGCAGGATTTGAGGCAGGCTTTGCTTTCCCAATAAAAAGAGACAGAATAGGTTGTCTCTGTTCTTTCCTACTTTTTTGTGAGTTAAGTGCAGACGTGATGCTTGGAACTGCAGCAGGCACAGTGCAACCGTGAGGCAACAAGCCAACACACTTAAAAATGACTGAGTGGAGAGAAAAGAAAGTCAGAAGGATCTTGTCTGCATTAAGAATTATCCTGGGCTGCTGATATATGCAACATCTGCTACAGAGAAAAATAAACCTCTATTTGTTTAAGCAACTTGTAGTTGACTTTTTGGCTTCTTGTAGCCTAAAGCATTCCTAAATCCTAAAAATTTTCTCTGTCAGTTTAAATCCCCAAGTCCTTTAAAAAATACTCTTACATGTGATTTTGTGACAGTGACAACTAATTAGAAGTATCATTAGATCAATAAAATCTTGGTTAATTAGAATTTAACTCAGTTTTGAGAAGATCCACTGATCAAAGTTAAGTGGCAGAAAGTATGGCAATTAGCTGATTCATTAATTAGGAAGAACTAAAGGTTGAAGGACAGGTATTAGAAGTCAGTAATCCAATATGAAAATAGTCAATTTTCAGGGACTATTTGAAGATAATACTACATGTATACATATATAAGCATGTACGTATTTTTCCTAGATAACACAGAGTATTTTGCACCCTGCTCTTTATCAGTTAAGAATACATCTTGGGGCTTCCCTGGCGGCTCAGTGGTTGGGAGTCCATCTGCCGATGCAGGGGACACGGGTTCGTGCCCCGGTCCGGGAAGATCCCACATGCCGCGGAGCGGGTGGGCCCGTGAGCCATGGCCGCTGAGCCTGCGCGTCCGGAGCCTGTGCTCCGCAACGGGAGAGGCCACAACAGTGAGAGGCCCGCGTACCGCAAAGAAAATAAAAGAATACATCTTGGATATTGCCCCACATCAGTTCAGAGAGAGTAGCCTTGTACTTTTTCTTTTCACAGATGCATGGTACTCCAACACGTGGCTATCTCATGGTCTATTCAAACACTCTCCTATGGATGGGCATAATGGGCTTAGCTGTGTCTCCCCAAAACTCGTCTGTTGAAGCCCTAACCTCCAGTACCTTAGAATGTGACTGTATTTGGAGATAGGGACTTCAAAGAAGTAATTAAGCTTAAATGAAGTCATAAGTGTGGGGCTCTAATCCAATAGGACTGGTGTCTTAGAAGAAGAGGAAGAGAAACCAAAGAGGTGAGCACACAGAGAAAAGGCCATGTGAGGACATAGCCAGGATGTGAGCCTGGGAGCTGGTTACTGCTGAGAATCCCCTCAAAATGCCAGCATCACAATGAGGTACCTCCTCATGCTGGTCAGAATGGCTATCATTAAGAAACCTATAAATAACAAATGCTGGAGAGGGTGTGGAGAAAAGAGAACCCTCCTACACTGTTGGTAGGAATGTAAATTGGTACAGCCACTGTGGAAAACCGTGTGGAGGTTCCTCAGAAAACTAAAAATAGAATTACCGTATATCCCACTCCTGGACATATATCCAGACAAAACTATAATTCAAAAAGATACATGCACCCTTATGCTCATAGCAGCACTATTCACAATAGCCAAGACATGGAAACAACCTAAATGTCCATCGACAGATGAGTGGATAAAGAAGATGTGGTACATATATACAATGGAATATTACTCAGCCATAGAAAAGAATAAAATAATGCCATTTGCAGCAACATGGATGCATCTACAGATTATCATACTAAATGAAGTCAGAAAGAGAAAGACAAATGCCATATGGTATCACTTATATGTGGACTCTAAAATATGACACAAATGAACCTATCTATGAAAAAGAAACAGAATCACGGACATAGAGAATAGATTGGTGGTTGCCAAGAGGGAGGGAAAGACTGGGAGTTTGGGATTAGCAGATGCAAACTAGCATATATAGAATGGATAAAAATACAAGGTCCTACTGTAGAGCACAGGGAGCTATATTCAATATCCTGTGATAAACCACAGTGGGAAAGAATATGAAAAAGAATGTATATATATATATATATATATATATATATATATACATATATAACTGAGTCACTTTGCTGTACAGCAGTAATTAATACAATATTGTAAATCAACTATACTATAATTTCTTTTAAAATGGAAAAAGAAAAAAACACGCCAGCATCAAGAGGCTTTGCTTTGGGACTCCAGCCCTCCACCTGGTAAGCCCTCGTTCTCTCCCCAGGCAGCTCTTGTGACAGGTGTAGCTGATCATGCTTCCAGGTTTGGCCCAGGGATGAACCCATGACTGCTGGCTCTCCTGCAGCTCCATGGGCGGGTGAGGGGAGCACGGATGCCTGGGAGTGGTGAAGGGGGGCAATTGGCATAGCTCTGCCACAGGCTGTCTCCCTCCACCGTTTACTATCCCACCTCCCAGACTAACTCTCTCTACGTGGTGACTGCAGGCGTCCAGCATCCCCGGGGCTCCTGGGGAGAAGGGCTCCAGGCTGAGATGCAGTCTTCAGCCCAGCAGTGGTGGGTTCCTCTATATACTCACCTGTCAATGTGCTCCCCGTTTGCCATCTGCCATCCAGACAGTCATTAGTTACTCTCACGGGATGATTAACCTGCTCCCAGTCTCCACACTTTCGGAGGTTTATTTCCTCTGGAACTTCTGCGTCAACATTCCAATGGCACTTGGAGAGAGAATGGAGAGACAACTGCATGTGGGCCCCTCACCTTGACCTAGAAACCTGCATTATTATAACATAATGTAGTGTCAAGGGCACTTGACCAGGAGGTTAGAGACGAGAGTCCTTGTCCTAATTGGATCATCATCTCTGTCACCACGTACCTACTCTTCTTTTCCTTATCAGCCCCTTACAGCTCCAATATCCGAGATTCTTTAGGGAACACATTCCCATATAGCTGACCCCTACCAGCTGACTCTATGAGCCTTATACCCTTGACATTTCTTCCTGTCACCCCAATGCATCACAAATGAATATATGTGTCACTTGCCTTTTTCCCGTTGTCCAAGAACCTTGAAAGATTTCAACCAGAAACAAAATCAGAAGCAAATTACTCAGTGAGAACTGAAAGCTTAGGAGTCTCCAAATGAGGCAGAATCCTTTTTCTCCTTTCTTATTGAACAATTCCCCACTAACAGTAGGCTCTGTTCTTTCTTAAGACCTAACCTCTCCAGGAATGAGGAGACACTGAAAGGGCTTAAGTGAAAATATTAGGCAAGGGAAGTAGCAGAAGTAAAGCTAACTACTGCTGCCAGAGTGGTGAGAATGTATTCATCCATCCAGAGAGAAGCTGTTGGGACCCAAGGACACTTAAAACACAATGCTTGCCCTCCAGGAATCTATAGTTTCATCAGTCAGATTTTCCATCATGGAGCTAAATTGGAAAGGAGCAGTCAAGTGTTTGCTGCTCTAGATAAATGTGAGGCTGCGTGAGAATTCACCTGGTGGAGTTTGCAGCCTACAGGGGTGGAGTCTGCAGCCTACAGGGGTGCATTCTGTTATTGCCAACGACATGCCAAAGACTGAAATGAAAGATGTAATTCTCATCGGGAAGGAGTCTTTGGAGTATAGGGCACAGAGATGGGCCAGCTCAGAGGGAAGGAAGTGTGTCCACACGGCATTGCCAAGGTGATGCAGGGAGAGTGGATGCAGGGATACAGAGGCAGCATCTCAGCTCACCTTGCACTGTTTGCCCATCCAGGAGAGGCCTGCTGACACTAGGCAAGGGTGGCATAGATCTTGTGTGGAACACTTATTTGGTGATGGGCTACTGTTTAGAGTGGTGAGTAAAAAGATTAGGATGGTTTATTTAGGTCAGTTTCGACATTCACCTCAGATAGCTCTAGCCTCATAACAAACTACCCCAAATGCAGCAGCTTGAGGACACAACCATTTCCTTATTATACCTTAGAATTTTGTGGGCCAGGAATTTGAATGTGACTCAGCTGGGCAATTCTCCTGTTCAATATGGACTCAACTAAGATCACTCAGTGATTTCAGCGATGGAATTCAGTTGGCGCATGAGCTGGTCTGGAGGATCCAAGACAGCTTCACTTACACGTCTGGTGCCATGGTGACGGAAAGAAGGCTGTGTCCAGCTGTTGACAAGAGTGGCCACGTGTGAACTCTTCAGCGTGGCAGTCACAGAGACTTCTTACTTGGTGGCTCAGTTCCCCAAGAGAAAGTGTTCTAAGAGATGGCAAGTGGAAGCTTCCAGTGTCTTAAGGCCTGAGCTGGGAAACTGCTACAGCATCACTTCCGCCGTATTCTATATAGTCACAGAACTGCCCAGGTTCAAGGGTAGGGAATACAGACCCCACTTCTCAACAGGAAAGGGGTCAAAGAATCTGTGGCCATCGTTACTCCACTGCAGCATTAAAGAGGAGACTGGAGAGCAGAAGGCTGCAATATACTAGTCATAGGGTGACCAACCATATGGTTTTCCCAGGACTGAGTGATTTCCCGGGACCATCCCAGGCAAATGCAGTCAGTTGATCAACCTGCCTATTCAGCTCATTCCTATTACCATAACCTTAACAGCCACAGCAGTTTCTTCCCATCTTTGTATGCTATTGTCTTCTTGCAGGAGATTTGTGTTCATGTGGGTTGTAGCTAAGGAGACAGCTCAGGAAACAGCTTTCTGAAGCTGAGGTTGGAAAACATACAGGCATTTGCAAGTAAGGAGAAAAAGATACACAGTGGTATGAAGTGGAGGTTAAGCAAAAAATGTCTTGTGCTATCTTTCCCACAAGTCACTGTCAGATCTCATTTTTCTCATTCTATTGTCATTGTATTTAGTCACAACTTATTTTTTGTTTGCTCTTCCCTCGACCCCTCCTTAGGCAAGTGTCCAGGGCTGGATGAATATCTCAGCATAGCAGAAAGAGCAGAGAGCACAGGTTCAAGTTCCTCCTTTGTCACATCTCTTATAATGTGACTTTGAGTACCTCCCTGGACCTCTCTCAGTCCTGGTTCCCTCATCTCAAATGATTTTGCCCGATTTTCTGATGGCCAGTGTCCACAGCAAATGAAAAATCACATGTTTATTCAACATTTTATATCAACGACTTGGATGTGAGCTCTGAGGGTGTAACAGAAATTTTCAGGCCACGTGCAACTTTGGAGGGAGAGCTACTACACCAGATAATACTCAACATCCAAAAAAGATTTAACAGGCTGGAATGATGAGATAAATTTAATGAGATGAAGTTGAACAGAGAAAATGTAGAAGTTTGAACTTTGGCCTATTAAAGCCCAACTCGAGTACAGAATGAGGAATAGGGATTAGTAGCAACACATATGAAATTATTTGGGAGTTTTCGTTGACTGTAGGCTGGGTATGAGTCAACACTACCATGCGACTATGAAAAATAAAAGCTGATTAAATGGAATCAAGATCTCAGTTGAGAGGGGTGCTCATCCTTTTCTAAACTGAAATGGAGGAATCACATCTGAGGTATATATTCATTGATTTGGGATCCCAACACTTTAAAGGGGTTAAAAAAACAACTTAAGCTTGTTCAGAGAAGAATGTACAAGATTGAATGAGAACCCCAAAAGTGGAATGGTTAGCCTAAGGGGCCAAAACCCCCTGGAGTACTAAACAGATTTCCTTAATGCACTGGAATTAACAGACTGCCCCAAGTACAGAGAATTAAGGTCTAAGTGTAAGAGTTCCAGGGAAATCAGTTTTATTCATGAGAAAGGAATATTGACTACAGAACTGTGTCCATGATGTTGTCCATGTCACAGGGCTTCCCTGGGGGCAGAGCATAGGAGGATAGCCGTTGCGCACTTAGGAGGATGTATTTTCCTGAGACAGTCATGCCAATACCCATCCTACCCCATATGTTCTTACAACGTGATGTTGCCACTCCTGCATCCAGGGATGGGGGCCTATATTCTCTCCCCTTGAACGGAGGCATATGTTTGTAACTATGTTGACCAGTAGAGAAAATAATCTTATGTGACCTCTGAAGATAGGTCATCTGCCTGGCGTTCTCTCTCTCTGTCTCTGTCTCTCTAGGTACTCTCGTCCTGGGAACCCAGTCACCACGCTGTGGGAAAGCCAAGCAGCCACATGCAGATGTTCTAGCTATTTCCTAGCTGTTTAAGTCTACTCAGGCAAGAGCCAGCATTAACCGCTACACATGTGAGTAAATGAAACTTGAGATGATAATCTCCCATCCTTTTAGACTTTTCAGCGGAGGCCCCAGGCATTATGCAGCAGGGCTCAGCCAGTTCTGCTATGCGCTGTCTGAATTCCTGACCCTGAGGATCCATGAGCAGATAATGATGTTTATGTTACTCTACTTTGGGATAATTTGTTATAGCAACCAAAGTGCCTGTAACAGAGGGGTCCTACCCAAGGACTACTATCTATGGTCCCCTATCCAGGAAGAGGGAGAGGGAGTCTGAATGATGGTTTGGACTGGAAGGTTGGGGCTAGGGGGTATTAAGAGACAGGTAAGGGTGTTGGGAGAGTAGAGAACAAGGTATTGAACAGATGGGATCAAGGGCTTGGGGAACTAAATCTGAGAACTGGGGACTCTAGGCATGCAGTTAAGTAGGCATTTAGTTTACAAAGGTTTGCTTTGCAGCAGAGAGTGACTCCAGATCAGCAAAGTGGGGGAGCTATCTTAGCAGGCAGTGGGGGGCTTCAGCATATGCTATAGAGAGGATGTGGACATCAGACGGGTGGGTGGCTGGACTAGATGACGACCTTTAACGTTCCTTTCAATCTTGAAATTCTATGAAGTTCTTAGAAAGTGTAAAACACTAGGTAGAGGTATGTACTATTATTAATGCATATGTTATGGGCCCAATAAGAAGAGGCTTAATACGAATTGGTGGGAAGCTGAAAGTCGAGGCAGGAAGCTAAATTATTCTCATAGGTTTAACAGAGGCACAACTGGAACCCCCTGGTGGGGCAAGATAAATGCCCATTACTCCATCCACCCTGCTCTAACCTTCAGTCACGCATCAGATTCCAGGCCTCAAGGAATTAGCTCCTAGCAAAGATGAGGAAAAGTGTGGAAGAAGAAATAAAGCCATGTGGAAGCAGGTGATACCACAGCCAAGCATTTACCCGCGGGAAAGAGGTAAACCCCACTCCAGGAGCCATGCTTGTGAACAAATGATACATTGTTGAAGAACGGGGGGTAAAGGCAACCAGCAGAAAGTACCTGCTTCTGCCCAAGTTCTCCAATAGTTAATAATATCTCTACTGATGCATTTCTTGCAATAGCTTTTAATGTTTTTTTCAATCGGACTGACTTTTAACTTCTAAAGGGCAGGGATCAGATATCTTCATGTCTCCAGTGATTAGCATAATACCTCAAAGAGAACAGGAACTCAATAATTTTTTGATGAATGGGTAGATAGAGGGAATGGCTGGCTGGCTGGCTGAGATATTTGAAGGCTGGTAACCTTACCACCCAAGTGTGGGCTTTGCTATTCTGTTACTGAGTAACTTTGGCCCAGAGCCTTTGGAGACGGTTAGGTGAGGAGTGCAAAGAAATCTGGACTTTTATCAGTGATCACCTCTGCCTCTACTCCTCCCTACAGCTGCTCTATAAACCACCGTGGAGCCCTAGGATGGGTCCTTTACCTTTTAAGCATATTGTTCATTTAATAAATATTTATTGAGCACCCCATCCCTGTGCTAGGCACTGGAGGTAAGGATATAAATAAGCTGTGACCCTGACCTCTCATAATTAAATAAGCAATCATATACTATTTCATATGTGCAATGATGGTGGAGGAACAGGGCACTGAGGGAACATAATAACAGCAGATATCGACCTCGATCTAGGGGAGATCAGGGAAGTTTTCCCATAGGAAATGACATGGGGAGTGGGAACCAGGCACAATGAACAGGATGAGTATTCCAGGCAGAAAGAAGAGCATGTTCAAAAGTCCAGAAACAAGCTAAAGCTAAAAGAGTTTCAGAAGCTGAGAGACATACTCTGGGACCAAAGCTTGAGCCATCAACAAGTGTGAAGACTCCACGAAGATCCCTTTTGATTAGAACTGAAAGAAAGGACTATTAGCTAAAAAGCCTTTTCGCTGTCCTGAAAGAACCAAATGACGAGCCCCCGGCCAGGTAGGACTGTGCTTTTCTCATCTTGGTGGCCACAGAGGAGTAGCTTTCTTGCACAGAGAAGGAACTCAGCACCTACTGCACACCTAAAACTTCCCCTGACACATGAGCAAGGTCCAATTTTCTTCTAGAAGATGCTGTGCTCCAGGGTGGTCAGACTGAATGAAGGGAATTTCCTTGTGGTCCTGAGTGTTGGTCCTGTGTAAGCCTTTGTCTCTCTCCTAATGACTGCATAACCATGTGGTTTTGTCTTCTTCTGAGTTTCCCAAGAGGCAGACCCTGAGACAAAAAGCTGGGTATCAGTAGCTCATTGGAGAGATGATCCCAGGAATCACTGGTAAGAGAGAGGGGAAGCGAGACAGACAGGGAATGAAGCCAATGAAGGATGTGTTGATGAGCTTCTTGCTGTGGGAACCGAGGGCTCCATCCTGTGTGAACCTCTGGGAAACAGTGCAGAAAACAACTCAGAGTTGGCTCACCCGAGAAAAGAGAGAGCACAAGTATTGACTGACCACCTCCCATCTCTCACAGGTTGGGGGAAGCTCCTGAGAAGTTAACTGTCAGCATTTCTGGCCTGCCCCACATGCAGGCAAAGGAAGGGAGGGGTTATGGGCTGGCAATGATAACATCTGCTACTGGTTCCCTCCCACTCAGGCCCTAAGCTCTGCTCACATGCTCAGGGAGAGAGGAGATCAGGCCCCTGAGTTCCAGACCACCATCTGGTCTTGGGCTGAGGGGGGGATTCCCTGATGGCAGGGAGGTTGAGGTCAATCCTGTATCATCTTCGGTCTGTTTGATCTCCTGGGGCACTGAAGAAGTCACCCAATTCTTTGTTGTCTTTTTTTAAGCTTTATACTATCTTCTTCCTAGCCATACTCAGATTGTACTTACACTTTAATTTTTCACCTTAGGTACTGCTATAATTTTTGTTTTCAATCAAAATGTTCATTAAAATCCTTTCACTCTCGCAAGCTTCCTTGTCATCTGCCTTACTCTTCCAAATGGCATAGAATTGAACAGACCTGGGAGGGTCCCATGGTGATAGAAAAACTAGAAATAACGAGGTCACCTGGCGACATAAAAACAGAGCTAGGACTTGAATTCAAGTCTCTCGTCTCCTAGCTCAGAGGCTGATGAACTTTGACCCTTGGGCCAATTCAGCCCACTGCCTGCCTAGTTTTATAAGTAAACGTACATTAGGACATTAAATTACATATTATTATATGGTTTTTTTCAAGCTACAATACCAGAGTTGAGTAGTTGCAACAGAGACAGTCCCAAAGACAAAATGTTTACTCTCTGGCCCTTTACATTTTCTGCTCTCCCCCAGGCCTAACTCTCCCATCATCTGTAGTCACAATACAATCTGTCATTCAGACTGCACAAGAACCCAGAAAAGTGGGGAGTTGTTGTTTAATAGGTACAGAGTTTCAGTTTTGCAAGATGAAAAGAGTTCTGTGCGTGGATGGTGGTGATGGTAGCCAACAACGTGAACGTACTTAATGCCACTGAACTGTACACTTAAAGATGATTAAGATGGTAAATTTTATGTTATGTGTATTTCAGCACAATTAAAATAAAAAAGAAACAGAAAAAAAGGAACCCAGAAAAGTATGTCATGTTTCCCACTTTACAGATGAGAAAATCAAGGCACAGGAGGTTAAGTGACTTGCCCAAGATTACGCAGCTGGTTAAGAGGCAGAGGCAAGACTCAAATCCACATCTCCTGACTGTGTGTCTATGTGTTTTTTCTACCCAGCCTCTGCTGCCCTGAGCTCCATCATGCCTGTCCTTGGTTTAACTCCTAAATAGCTCTCCATTCAGGCAACGGCCTCCCTCAATTGCTGTGCAGCTTTCTGTAGAGTGTGAGTAGTCTAGGTGTATATCTTCATGTTTTTCTTGTTGCCTTCAACCCAAACAAACATAGCTCTGGTACATGATAAGTTACAAGAATCCAGGAACAGGACATACATTTTGATAATGTAGGTGTTTTTTTTTTCTTTTTTTTATAAACTGTAATTTACTGACGTGGAAATGTAAGCCTTTCAAATGCAGAGGACTGGAAAGGTTTGTAGCATACCCCGCGAGAACTCAGTCTCACTGGTTTGAGAAATACTCCAGAAGGTTTGGCACACCCAGTTGTAGCCATTCTAAGCAACAGCATTTTGTCTGATATTCCAGTGGGGCCCTATGATTCAGATAACTGTCTAACAAATATATCAATGATAAAAGAAAAGAATTATGAAAATTGTACACATGCTTCATCAGAAGTATGTGTGTAGGTGATTAATATCAAGAATCACTCTTACACTCAAAAACTTTTGTTGTCCCATCATAATTCATCTGTAGCCAGTCTTAACATTTAACCATTTAAATAATAACTTCAAATTATCTTATGATGAACAGTGGGTTCTCGATTTTATATAGTTTTGGGTTAAAATTGGCAAACTAAACTATCACACCACACATGTCTTACCATGTGAATTTGCTCAAAGTGGTCCATACCCCATTCAATGAGATAAGCCTGCTGTTGCTTCTGTCCCACCTCTGCTCCCCTGGTCTCAGGCCTGTCTTTAGTATCATTCCTAAGATAGCTAGTGGGAAGCAGCCGCATAGCACAGGGAGATCAGCTGGGTGCTTGTGACCACCTAGAGGGGTGGGATAGGGAGGGTGGGAGGGAGGGAGACACAAGAGGGAAGAGATATGGGGATATATGTATATGTATAGCTGATTCACTTTGTTATAAAGCAGAAACTAACACCATGGTAAAGCAATTATACTCCAATAAAGATGCTAAAAAAATAACAAAAATAAAATAAAAATAAATACCCACCCATTCCTCATGCCTTTCTCTGTGTCTTAAGAGATCTTAGGTGTATGTCTCCCATGTTACCTTATTGCTTCCAACCCAGAAAAAAAGACAGCTCTGGGGCTTCCCCGGTGGCGCAGTGGTTGAGAGTCCGCCTGCCGATGCAGGGGACACGGGTTCGTGCGCTGGTCTGGGAAGATCCCACATGCTGCAGAGCGGCTGGGCCCGTGAGCCATGGCCGCTGAGCCTGCGCGTCCGGAGCCTGTGCTCCGCAACGGGAGAGGCCACAACAGTGAGAGGCCCGCGTACCGCAAAAAAAAAAAAAAAAAAAAGACAGCTCTGGTACAAGATAAATTACAAGAGTCCAGGACCACACTTGGACATTGCGGCAATATCAAATTCTTACCATCTTTTCTAAATGCTTTCTCTAAATCTCTGTGTTTCTCACATTGCAGACGAGTAGCCAACAGTCCGCAGACCAGCACCAACCCTCAGTCCGGGAGGCATTCACAGAGATCCTCCTTCTCTGTTTTCCAAGGCGTGCTGGTTCCCTCTTGTGTGCTCCATTCTGTGTTCCTCTCGCATCCTTTCGGTACTGGCCCTGATTCCTTCCTTATTTCTAGGTGCGAAGCAGAACTGAGCTCTCATCAGAATATTGTTAAGGAGGTTTTGACTTCTCTGATAAGCTCTGCCTACCAAAAATACTAAGTCCCTAACGTTACCTACTTTCCCAAGAGTGGCAGCACCGTACTAGACTTTTTTCTGAGCACTCCGCCTACGTTTGGGTGGTATCTGCCACTTAGCCAAGGCACAGGGAGGGGCTGTTTAACATCTGTGTGACAGGAAGCATCACTTCCTCATTGGCATCCAAGCCGAAAATAGATTTCCCCACTGGGCAGACACGCGATAGCCACGACACTACCTGTATCCTGTCATTGCCCTGAAAACGCCTTCTCCCCACCCCTCACTCTGCCCCCAGCTGGAGCCCCATTTGATTGACTGCATCCCTACTTGATCACATCATACTGAATATTAAGTAGCCAGAACATTCATTGACTGACAGTTAGCCTGCCTGAATCCCCATCAATTCAAACCTCCCTTAAAGCTACTAAGATTAGGTCCACAGGCTTTCTCTTAGCTAGAATAGATGGGTGCATATTTTAAACTACACCAACCCCATCTGAAGTGTTAATTGCTGATACACACTGTGAAGTAGCATTTTTAAATGGGTAACATTTTAGCCTTTACTCCTGGTTGGTGTTTAGACTTTGATGACTAAATTTCTCTAGAAGATAAATTATTTTGAGAACAGTTTGGGACTCTAGAACCAGCTTCTGTTCAAATTAACGTTTGTCACCATCATACACTTTGCTTCCACGCCCTTTCATCTCCTCCTTTTAGCTCCTTGATTTGTTTATTCTTCTGCATTTCACAGGTGAGAGGTGCCAGCATTGAGGAAGGCAGTGAGGTGCTGGGGAAGGGAAAGGAGCCTCTGACCTCCGGGTAAATACAGAGCAGGTAGAAGCTCTTTTAAACGCTTAGAAAGAAAACGTCCATCTTTAGTTACAGGGAATCAGAGGAAAAGATTAAAAGTACAAACTTTTTAAAATGAAAGACATACCTTATTGAATTAAAATCTGGGACAAATGTCATAAATATACTGGAGTTTGAGGAAAGGTTCTGTTTCCGCCATCTATCGAAGTCCCATATCCCAGAACAACTGAGACTCACAGCTTTCCAAACAACTTACCTTCTTAAATCATGACATTCTGTGACAACTCTGGGCCATCACCGGGATTCAGGGTATTCCAAAGATCGGCTTCCTTCTTCCTGGCCTCCCTCCTTCGTGTTGATTCTAGCAATTGATGTTTAAAGATCAGGATGACAAGAAATACTGCCATTTTCCTCCACTGCTTTAAAATAAGAATTGTTGAACTCACACGTGACCGTCACTCAGAGCCCCAATATGCGACTGACACTTTTTACAAAGTTATTTTTTCTTTCAAAACAAGGGTGACAATTCCTGCATAAAATAAATTCTTCATCAACTGGGAAACACAATCACTAGAATTTTTTGGCACACTACATTTGGGAGAAAGAAGTGACTGAGAAGAAAAGAGTTGAATGTTGAGCACATTTGTGTAAAGCAACTCCCCAAGCTGTATCCCAGAGTCAGGCAGACCCCATGCAATTTCTTTCTTATTCGGCATCTGTGGTTTCGGTCAGTGTTGATCAATGGTTATAGTGTTGACCCTTGGGCACACTAAGACCCTGACTGTCAAAGGAAGAATAAATACTGTTTGATGCACTGTCCTTACCAAAGGAAGAAATTAGAGTGGAACACTTCAGGAAGATTTGCAACATTAGCTGAAACCTTCATTTTAACCAACTGATCAAAGAAATTAGAATCCAGACTCCTTAATTCATGTTTAAACTATTACCTCATCTGTAAAGTGAGAACATTCCATTAGAAAGTTTATGAATTTATTTAACAAAGACTTATTAAGTGCCTAATCTGTGCCAAATGCTTTTAGGATTCTGGAAATAGAGCCATGAACAAAGTCCCTGCACTCAGATGAATTACAGTTAGCAGGAGAGATGGAGATAAAACAAATAATTACATAAATAATTTATAATTGTAAATGTGGTAGGCGTTACAAAGAGCTAGTACAAGATGTTATGAGAAAGTATCATGGGGACAGAGAAACCCAATCTAGGATTCTTAAATCCCAGCAATGAGAGCATGTGCAAAGGTGCTGAGGTGGAGTGAAGCCCAGTCCTTCACAGAAAATGAAAGTAGGAAAACAGAGCTAAAATAGTATAAATAAGTAACCAGGGATGAGGCCAGAGACCAAGCAGTGATGATCAGAAAGTTCAGAACGATGAGTTTATACTTTATCCAAATAGCAATGGGAAATTGTGGCTAAGAAACCTATTTGTCCCACAATATCTGTTCAAGCCTTCTTATTTCAGCAACAGAGCCCCAGAATCTAGCCAGACGCACAGCTGCCCAAAATAAAGACATTTCCTAGGCTCCCATGTGACTGAATTCTGGCCAATGAGGTGTAAGCAGAAGTGGTAGCAGCAACTTCTGGGAAGTAAGCGTCTTTAAAGAAGAGGGTGGGGCTTCCCTGGTGGCGCAGTGATTGAGAGTCCGCCTGCCGATGTGGGGGACACGGGTTCGTGCCCCGGTCTGGCAAGATCCCACATGCCGCGGAGCGGCTGTGGCCGCTGAGCCTGCGCGTCTGGAGCCGCTGCTCCGCAGCGGGAGAGGCCGCAGCAGTGAGAGGCCCGCAAAAGAGAGAAAAAAAAAAAAAAGATAACCATAAAGGACCTACTGTATAGCATAGGGAACTCTGCTCAATATCCTGTACGAACCTAAGTGGGAAAAGAATTTGAAAAAGACTAAATAAATAAATATTTTTAAAAATTTAAAAGAAGAAAGGTCTTTCTTTCATGGTGGGATTATGAGCTCTTAAGTTCACAAATTTCTATGACTTTTATGAGGAACCTGAATATTTAGTATAAGAAACAAAACTGTAATAAAACTTTTGTTTGCTTATTCATTCATTGTTTTATTCATTCACTTAATCATTTTGGCCCCTGCTATGTACAAAGTACTTGTCTTAGGTGTTGCAGAAGACAAAATCGTAAATAATTTGATGCCTACCCTAAAAGGATTTATAATTTGGAAATACAGGAAGTGGTCACTGGTAAGCTGCAGATGACCAAAGAAGAGAGTTAAGGAAAAGCTGATGTTAAGAACATGGACAATTCATAGAGAGAAGAAAACCATCACACACTGAGTGTAAGAGCACTTATAAAGCTATCACATAGCTAAAGCTCGTGTAACGCCTCCACTCCAATTCAGAAACTATCTAAACTAATACTCTAAGGCATGAAGTCTCAGAACAGCAGGAAACTTTAGAGGAACCCAATGTTTGTCGAATTCAATAATTAATAGGATTCTACTGACCTCAGCAGACCACTCAGGCAAAGTAAACAGGCAAAAAACCATTTCCTTCTTTGAAACCAGCGATTAACAAAGAAAACTCAGCCCAACACTGGGCTTCAAACACCTATTGACAAAATCTGTTTTGTCATTGTCATGTTCCAAAGCTAGTCCCCAATCATATCATAGTTGCTGAGATCTTAAGAGTTAATGCTGTGGATTTACAAGAGAGAAACCTGATCCCGTGTTTAGAAATAGAGTTGAAGAGCCATATGCCTAAGCAAACAGTCCTTTTGGACCAGTTATGAGCCCACACCAGCTGAAGGAGGAAGCACACGGAGGATGGCGTGTTATGGAATCTTGGGTGAACGGGAAATAAAGGGAGGGAAGGACTATTTCTGAGCACCTCTGTGCCAGGAACTGTGTAAAGCACTTTATATAGAAGCTTGTTTAATGTTTATACCAGCTCTGTGGGATATGAATGCTATCTCCTTTTACAGGTAAGGAAACTGAGGCTGAAGAAGATCTGATTTACCCAGGACGTGAAACCAGGGCACAACCAGACTGCAATCCAGATGTATTCTGTCCATTAAGTCACGCTCCATGAAGCTCTCTGGGAGATGGTGTCTTCAGCTGTAAGTTGGAAGTGACGGCTGTTAGCAGAGAACCTCCAAGGGCATTTTCCTTGTAAAAGTCAAGCTATAGTTCTCCACCTAATAGCCAATAAGACCGTTTCTAAATCTCAGGGATGCCTTCCAGTCCCAGTAATAACAATCTTCCCTTTGTACTAAATTGATAAATTTAGCATAATAAACCAACTGTCTCTACAGCTATTATTCATCCTAAGACTTGAAAACATCTTAAGATATATGGAAACTGTTTGGAAAACAAACAAAATAAGAAAAATTTGACAATATCAACATTTAAAAATTTGGATTCCAGGTAGCTATTTGCTGCTGGGTTATTTCTCTCTTGGGTAAAAGTCTGGAGGTAGGCATTTAAGCTAGTGTAACAGCTCTGTTTCATGAAGTCTTCAGGCACACAGGGTTCTCCCAGGCCAGGGCCCTGTCATCCCCATGATGTGGCCCTTGTCTTTGTGGTCTGAGATATGTGCTAGAGCTCCAGACACCACATTGGCATAAACCACATTTTTATTTTTAAACCTATGTAACTGCTGAGGGTTGGCATTCACGTGGTGAAATACATGCTCTTACACACCGCTGGGGGGGCTGGTTGTATATTGGTAGAACCTTCCTGGGGGAAAATTTGATAATACGTATTATGAATAGTAAATATATATACAATCCTTCACCCAGCCTTTCCATTTCTAGGGGTATATTTATCCCTCTCTCCCCTTGAATCTCGCTGGCCCTGTGACTTGCTTTGACTAACAGAAAGAAGCACAAGTAATGGATTGGGACATCCAAGCTCGGACCTTAAGAGACTTAACGGATAGTTTCCATTTCTCCCTCTTGGGAGCCAGCTAATGTGCTGTAAAGAAGCCCAGGTTTCACTGTGGAATGATAAGAGGCCACGTGGAGAGGGGCCTTGGAGGAGGAGACACTTGTCTTTTTTCTTCCCTTTCCTTTTTTTTTTTTTAAATTGAAGTATAGTTGATTTACAATGTTGTGTTAGCTTCAGGTGTACAGCAGCGTGGTTCAGTTATACATATCTATCTAATCTTTAAGATTCTTTTCCATTATAGGTTATTACATGATACTGAGTAGAGTCCTCTGTGCCATA